CAATAAAATTATATATGAATTCTTGAAAATATATTAACAAAATAGTATAAAACTATAACTTCAACTTAAAATAAATAATAAATTCATTTCAGCTGCAAAATAATACATAATATTAAATATCATTTTACTTCTTTTTAGTTCATTGAATGTAACTTATGATAACAACATATAATTTCATCCATTTAATAATGTTAAAATAAAATTCAAATGAATTTTTTGCTGTATTTTTCAACATATTATTAATTTATTAGAATATATTTTCTATTTTTCCAATTTTAGTTTAAGTCATTGCTTTGCAAATTTATAAATGGTTTATGAAGAGAACAATAAAAGGAATATAATAGGTATCACGAAATGTGTGGATAATAAAAAATAATTTTTAAATGAATACCGTTTATAAATTTATATACAATCGGAGGCGAAGAAAATAAATATAAAGCTTACACAAAAATGTATCTATTTTTTGTAATTTGTTATTTTCAGTTAGTGGTATTTGATCTTTTTAGCTATTTATAATCTTAAATTTGTAAATATTTCTATTTCTTGTTGCAAAATTTATTATTTGTTACCAATTACTATATGCAAACATACAAATCTAAACAAAAAGTTCGTATTTTTTGCTCTTGATTTCTTATTAATTTAACTCTGCTAGAGCATGTTTGGCTAAGGTTATAGACACGTAGCCTACTTCTCTTTAAAATTAGATTTTTATCTTAATGTCAAAATAAGTAATATATTTATTTTCTACATTTATTTTAAAAAAAGATATTTATTTAAAATTTATATAGAAAGTAATAGAATAAAACTAAACCTTATCAATTACCATAAAATAGGTAGTTCAAATAAAGTTAAATTGAAAAACAAAAGTAACAAAGTGGATGTTTAGTTGGTGCGTATGGATAGTCGGTGAATAGTAATCCTACAAAATTCATGAATAAAGAGTAAGCTTAACCAAAAGTGTTCGTAAAATAATAACCAACCAAACATGCCCTATAACAAAAATAATGCATTCGAAAACTAAGTTAATAGTATTTGGTACAACCATCAGATTTCTAAAAATGGTTTTCAAGCTATAAGCAAACCGGATCAATCTAGATGTACATCTTGCTTGAAATCCTCCTATGTGACACAATCTAGGCAGTGACGTGAAAGATTGTTATGGTGCCATATGGAAGAATGTCAACGAAGATGTAAACATTCATGTACATGTAGCATGCTTGAAGCAAATCAGTTTCTAGGCTGGTCCCTAGTTTTCCTAGTCAGCCTGGTACCACACATGTATCAACGACGAAAAATAAACCTAAACTGAAAAAGCTCAATGAAAGATTTTACAAAAGCAAATATGATACTGAATATTTTATCAAACAAATGTGTATCGAAAAATTTGATAGTTTAGAGTCTTTAGACAAAAGAACAAGCCATATCCATGCCGGGACGCTCACAACACAAATATATGAACTTAAAAAGAAAGTAGATTTCCAATCACATACTAAAAGAGATTCACCATATGCGCACATAAGTACATCGATCAATCGACATGAAGTCGAGCATTCTTGCCAATGTACACAGAATGGCTGAAAAAAAATCGGAATCTTACCAACCAATCAGAGCCCGAATAAGGCCGACTACATCACCATTTAACAATGCCTTAAGAAATCTCAGCTTCCCAGGAGTGTATGGTGGGTATCTTGCAGGAATATCCCCGGCAAAACTACGCTGTAACACTGCCTTCTTGTGGCTGAAAGCGTCGAATGAGAATTTCCCGTGGTAGGCTCCCATTCCACTTTCCCCGACTCCTCCAAATGGCAAAGAATGCTCAGCAAGCTGCAACAAGAAGTTCCTTAATATAGTTAGTTTAATTTGATTATTTAACTCGTTAACTTAATTTTTCTTATCGACAGGTTCAATTGGCAATCTTCATTACAGTAAAGATGTCCATACAGATAATAAAGAGGGATGCTAGTATTTTCCTAGAAAGGGTGCTCTTAAAGAAAAGCCAAATGAGCATGTTTGGCTAAGCCTGGAAAATGTAAAACTACTTCTTGGAGAAGTAAAGACTTATTTACTGAAAAAGTAAATTAATGGACAAGGTTAATTAACAGTAACTCTTAAACCTAATGCAAGTTATTGCAGTCAGTTGCACTGCTTAAGTGACCACTATCAAATGCTACTGCAAATACCAGTGCAAGCATATACACATTTCATATAAGCATGAAGACGAGTTGGCATGACTTCAAGCAAAGCTTTTGATATGTTTTATAGATATGGGAAGAAAAATTTACATGTAGAATAGTGTCATTGACGAGCAACCCCCCTGCTGAGACGTTTCTTATGAACTCCTCCTTAAGCTTTTTGTCATTCGTAAATAAATATGCAGAAAGTGGCTTCTCTCTAGCATTAATCATTTCGATACTGTCTTCAATTTTGTAGACCTTCAGGGAAAAGGAAAACAAATGCAGTTTACATTTATAATTATACTAACTGATAACATAAGCAAAATGCAAAAGTCGAAAGTCGAAAGGAAAATTCACCAAATATTCAATCTAAGTTTTACCGTCAAGATAGGAAATAAAGGACCAAATATCTCCTCATTCATGACCAGAGAATCTCCTGGGACTTCCAACATAATAGTGGGAGCAATTTTTCTGCCCGGAGACAATGATAAAATGGATTACAAGTCTTTTTAAATAAATAAAATTAAAAGAACAATTTTTCTGCTTGGAGATAATCATAAAATGGATTACAAGTCTTTTTAAATAAATGAAATTGAAAGAAATTTCTAAGTATAAATCATGTGTACAAACTCACAGATTGGCTTCATCCCGTTGGCCTCCATGAACTATCTTTCCAGAAACCTTATCGTCGTCCAATAAATTGGTTAAGCGGTTAAAGTGGTTGGAATTCACTATGCGTGACAGGTCTTCTGATTTTAGAGGATCCTTTCCATAGAATACCTCTAGTTCAGATTTCAGAGCATCTACCTGATTTGAGAATTTGCATGAGAGAACAAAAATGAGAATAATGTATGTTAAATGGCTCTTCAATCAGATGGGAAAACTCACCAACTGAGAAGCATAATCTTTTGTGGTTATCAAATAATCGGGAGAAACACAAGCTTGTCCACTATTGCAGCCCCACTTGCCTGCAATAATCCGTCTTGCAGCAACCTTTTAAATGCAGAACAAGTTTTGATTACACCATCAGCATGGTTGTGATGTAGGAAAGGGTAGAGAAGAAGAGAAAAGAGGGGGAAAGAGAAGAATATGGGGAGATAGGAGGGAGAGAAATTAGAGAGACGTAACAGAAATTATAGATGACAGTATCAATTTATTTCATTATCAAAGTTGTTGTTCATTACAAAGCATAAACCTCTTTATATAAGGTTTCAAGGATTCTATTCTAAATAGGAAATATTTAATAAAATCTATTAAATCAAACCCTTATAATATTTCTTAAAATACGTATCAAAATTGGAAACTAGATTACATAATATCTCTTCTAATATTCCATCAAGTTGCCTTTAGCTAAGCTCAGAAAAAATGTAAGATTTTTGTGCTGGAAATCCCCCCCAAAAAAGTAACTTCCGATAAACCTAATACAATTACAGTATTTAAAAAAAAAAAAAAACCAACCAACTTGAAATCAACTACAAAGAATGCTCTTATAAACTAAGCAATTAAGCACACTGGTTGTGGCTTCATATGAATGTTGAATATGCATGACTCCGGTTAAAGGAGAAAAGGAAGTCTATACTTTTAAGTTGATGTTTTTGTCAACAACTACAGGAGATTTGCCACCAAGCTCCAAAATTACTGGTGTAAGATGCTTTGCAGCAGCAGCCAACACAATGCGTCCTACCTTGCCATTTCCTACAAGATTGCTTGTTTGAACATCAAAATCAGAAATCTATATGCAAGTAAAGTTCAAATTTCAAAAACAAGAACTTTCTCTTTACAACTAAAATTTCACTAATAAAAGTAGGGGGGTGCAAAATGATTATTAGCTCATGAAAATATATTCACAGCTAATAGAAGAAAGGATAGAGTTAAAAAGAAAATATACTTAAGTATCAACATCAACAGGGGCCTGATCTTTGAATTGTAGTGTTCCAGAAAGTTATTTCTTACCAAAGAAGTTTATTGAGTGAGAATTACAGTTTGTTTAAAGTACATATTTGTCTAAATTATGATCTAGAATAGAGTAATGAATTAATCCAACTTTAGCCCGCTGAAGGGCTTCTTTCAAATTTCTTAATCCTTTTATGGAAAGGAGAAAAAGTATTCCAGCTCCAAGACATTACTGTAAAGAAGACTACCACATTCTTCTAGCATCGATATAATACCGGGTGAAAAAATAAGGACAGTCATGGCATTGATTATAAGAAAATTTAAAAGCACAGGTGTGCTCTAACATAGGTAGCCATTTGCATTAAGACTTACTCCAGCCTATTTTCACAAAGTAAATACTTATCAAGCATCAAAATCAAGTGATAAGCATTGACAAATACGTATATCCACCCCTGTAGCTTTAAAAGCTCTCCATCGAACCCAAATACCACTTATCACTCAAAATTGGGCACATCCAAAAAAACGTGTGCATAGAAGAGCCATTGGAGACTAGACTAGAAAAGAATAGTTAACATTTTCAATACGTGAATAGGCAGAATTTCAGTACAACTAATCATTCATCACTTGACCAAGGTCAAGTTAACAGTTTCTTTCTCTTCGTCGAAGACTATTTCCAGCAGAACTAATGTAAGATTGGCAGCAATACTATTCAAATGTCACATGTACTTTGAATACTTGGATATAAAGTAAATGGAACTATTTCAAGTGCTTCAATGTGGTGACCATTCATCTATGACATGCATATGTAGATGACAGTTTTCTATCTTGTTCAGGAAAATATGAGATCTTTTATGTTGTGTATTCCAACTGCGACATTGCATTTTTTTGGATGTAAAAAATTGAAAATGTTTCTCTACTGATGTTTCATCTGAATTAAGTATAATATCAAGATATTAAGTACATTCATGTAAGCTAGAATATCTGAAGGGTGAAATTCATTGATACCTGTATAAAATATTTTATCCCACTTTTGCTCAAGTAATGCAGTTGTTTCAGGTACAGCACCCTCAACAACTTTTACCGCAGAGGTATCCATATACTCTCCTAAAAGTTTTGAAAGCACCGCAGATGTGGCGGGGGAGATTTCTGATGGTTTCAAAACTACAGCATTACCAGCTGTAATAGCTCCAATGACTGGATCAAGAGATAATACTGAAACAAAAAGAATCCCAAAGACCAAAAAGAAGTTGTCATCAGTGGCAGTGCTATAATATTAAACAAGATGACAAGGCACAAATTCATTCTTCATCAATAAATCACAAAAGAGTTGCAAACGAGAATGTCTAATAGTTATCAAGATGAAAATTTTCTATATGGATATCGTTCTTCAATTTCCAAATTATTGTTGAAACGTGTTTTAGGAAGGCAAGAAATAATTAAATAAACACAAATGAAAGAAGCTAAAAATCAGGAATTAACTTACGGAAAGGATAGTTCCAAGCCGATATGACCAATGTAACACCCAATGGTTCTGAAACTATTTCCCCCGATGAGGGGAAAGTGGTTAACGAGGTTTTCACCTGCAATTACTAGTAATTAGTATCATACAACCCTTAAGTCAATGAACAATAGTAGAAAAGAGAGTCCAATTTTGTACCTTTTCTGGTTTCATCCATTTCTTTAGTTGCTTCAATGCAAGCTGGCATGATGATTTCATCATAGCAATCTATTCATATATGATACTCTAATCAGATGCTTGGAAGTAAATAATAATCAAAGATACTACATATTGAGCTGGGAGCATATCGCATGCGAAATTCCAACAAATAAAGATCCAGAAAGAAGATAACTTTGAGCCAACTTTCGGAAAGCTAAGAGGCTTTTTTGCTAAGCTTAAAAACAGTTTGTTTCCAAACATGTGGATAACTTATTCTTGCTTTTAAGCAAAAAAGGTTCTTTTTTAAAGTAGCTCTTCCCTTACAGTAAAAATAAATAACTTACTTCCAACTTCGACTAATAAAAACTAATTATTCTAAAACTTACTTTTCTACTTATACCTGAACTTCCTCAACTCAATCTTTAACTAAATTTGGAGTCTTGACAATTTGAGCATCCTAACTAGTGAAACTCATATAATAGGTTTAGGAAATGTAAGGAGCAAATAAGGTAAATTTAAAGTACCGGGTATATAATCTGGTATCTGATAACATGGAGCAGATATTGCATAATTATCAACTCTTTTCCAGAAATAATTGAATAAATTCCTCCCTCCAATTATCTCCACAAAATGAGTGCAATTTTGTTTCATGCGTGTTTTAAAACTCTGAAGAAATGATTTGTGGATCGCTTTAGTTTCAAACATTTTCCAGAAACACAATCTTCATTCTACTGGCTAATAAAACAATTATGTATTTACTGTTTGTATATATATATATTAAGGGTGTGTTGAGCCATATTATTTTCGAGGAATGTATTTTGGAATAGTAGATTGATGGAAAATGTTTGGTTGAAATAAAAGGAAAATTTATTGATATGATGGAAAATATTATTTTATTGAAAAATGTGTGGTTGAAAATGAGTAGAAGAATGAGAATGAGAAAAATAATGAGGCACAAACAGGAGCTAAATCTGAAATGTCAATATCGATTTAGCTATGTAATGAAGTGATTGTCTAATGGTGTTTGACTGTCATTTCTTTTCAGGTGAAGAAATGGAAACCTCAAGGCCAAAATCATGGCAGGACGAAANGGAGGTCCTCTATTCAATCCTTTTCCTTCTTCTTGTTGCTGGATAGCTCGTTCGTACACATCTTCTCTTTGTTTCCCTGGCCTCTAGTGAGTTACAGACAGAGTTCTATAAGGTCAAATCTTTGATGATTCCATCATCTATGATTTAGTTGCAAAAACTTCGGGATAGATGTGGGTGAGGTCGACGGGACTTTGAGAACCTTCCAATTTCTATCCATATTTTGACACCAAGACAATTGAAAAATTTTATTCATTAACCCATAGGCCATAGCAACTATCCACTATTTTTGCAAGAGTAACAGTCAACGCAAAGAGGCCGTCAACCAGGGAAAAAAATCTGAAAAGGAAGCAAACATGTGTGATAAAAATATAAGTTCCTATCCTATGTCACACGCCCCTTGTAGCAAGGCTGATGACTACGCTTAATTCTTGAAGATATATTCCTGACCCCTTTGGAACTAATGATCCATCATGACCAAAAATTAAAACCTTGAAGCCAAAGACAGTACACATTCATTCAGTGGACAACATTAATCCAATCAAATCTATAAAACTACCTTAAATATCCAGACTGACCAGTAACATTAGCCACTCATTCAACAATTGATAAACCTGTGCAGGTGGGTATTAAAAGCTCCTAGCTGCTAACTGGACAAAATTCTTCATGTCCATTGAATGCTCTTAATTGGCAGCTGTGGAGACAACATTCCACTTTTGGAAACATACTAAATCTTAAGAAATGACAAATGAAGGATGGAAAGAGTAGATTGAAAATGAAAAATAATAAATTTTCCTAGACTTAGGATTTTAGTTAATCTGTCATTGAAAGTAATATTAATGGAAATGTATATCAAATTATGCAGTAAAGGGAATCAACAAATAATTCAAAATCTGAGGAACACATTATAAAAAGTCAAATTTGTAGGTCAACTAAAACATCTATCTCGCCACCAGCTCGATAAGAGTTCCAATCTAAAAAGTAAACTGAACTCGACTCCAGGCAAACAAAAGGAGTGCTGGAAAAAGATCAGTAAATACGCACAAAAGCATTTCAGTAGTCCCTGGAATCAAGAATCGTATGAAATAAAACAACCCAATATTCCCCCACTCCCACCCAAAAAAAAAAAAGAAAAGAAATAAAGAAAAAGGCATTTAGTACAGAATTAGAGTAAAAAAAAACATGAAATAAAGCAACGCAGAATTTGTTTTCACCAAAAACAGAGCATTTAATGCAGGTTCAGAAAAAGACAAGGAGGTTGAAAAAGAACTTAAAAGAATTAAATTATGTAACAGCAAATTCCATAAACAAGTAAGAAGCCAATACATTATCCGAATTGAATGGTCGAACTAACCTCGTACACAAAAGATTCGTGTTCGTGTTTATTAAGGTCCGAACGGAGAGCTTCAGTTATCTCTTTCTCATGGTGATCGGCTATTTTCAACAGAGCCCTCAACTGGGTTACTCTCCACTCGTAACTCTTCGTTTTCCCACTCGCATAGGTCCCCCGAAGCTCCTTCATCATCCCCTCCACATCCAACGCCATTGTTTGTGTATCCATATGTATGTATGTATGTATATGTG